ATTTTGATCAAAAGCTTTCTTATTCAATAGATTTTCATCAAAGGCATGAAGAAAAGTAATCACTAGAAATAGCTGGGCATTCCACAACATAGAAATAGCTATGAGATGGGATTTGAATACACTATGTGTGCCAGGGGCTAAGCAGAGCCAAATAATGTTGGTTACCATCAGCCTCTTGGCTGAAAAACAGTGAAATTAAACATCTGTCATCAGAAAAGTCTAGTAGAAATACCAGCATGGTTCCTAATGAAAGTCACCAATGGAAGAGAGCTAGTGAATGTTATAAAGTCTATACATAGAGTTCAGGTGCATTTTACATAATAGATATCAAGCTCTTGGTTCTCATATATCACTTGCATAGAGCCTGATTAATATTTTTACCAATAAGTGCCAGTATTTGTTATTGCAGATGGTGGCACCCTCAGTATTTCTGAAAATAAACCCGTGCAAATCAAATATAATAAAATATTTAGACTCCTCACACTGCAATTTTTATTGTCATTTAGCCAACGTACAGTTTGTTCTGAGGCAGAAGAGCGAACCAGGACACTTCCAACAAAGCAGCAACTGAATCGTGTTCAGTAAATCCAATAGCCTGCTGCCACCAAAAGGAAAACAGTAGAATTACTCCAGGTGTAAAGTAACTATTACCAGTGGAATACAGTTAACTAAACATACGAAAAGAGAAGACAAATTTAGTATTTTAGTCAGGATGATGAAGTCTTTAAAAACCAAAAAAGCTGGGGATAAGAATTTCTAAAAGCTGATCTACAATCTCCTTCAGTTTCTCAATATTTTGCCACCTTATGGGACAGAAGGCTGGGTATGAAGGTAAAGAACAACTGACAGAACATTAAAGTGGTACAGTTCTCCAGGGCCAGCCTTCCTAGGGCTCTGATCTACCTTCCACGATATTCCACACCAGAAGTGAGATTTTTTTTAAAGTAAATTTAATAAGGTAACATGACTTCTCTCCAAAATAAATTCAGCATTTTAGAGGTCAAATGATTCATGTAAATTCAGCAGATCTATGGGCAGGCTGTAAGAAGCAGATCATAACATCGTTTATAAATACAAACCCAGGACTAGTCAATACACAAACAAGGGGGAAAGAAACATTTAAATGCTTATTGCTGCAATAAATATGATATGCTTTTGTGGCTCTTCTTCATCTCAATACTTCTCCCAGGTGCCATGCTTTGCACAGGTGGAACACAGGAGGGTACAGGAAAAGTCCTTCATCTTGTTTATACTCAGCTCTAATACAACCAAGTGGTTGATTTATAGTACAGATTTATGATTACTACTTAGAAGATATGAAGTACTACAGCAATTAATTCACAAGGGTAATGAATGCCTCTGCTTCTAACTATCAAGAAGATGGGTATCAGAGAAAAAAATCCTCAAGAGACAGGCAGAAGGCATTATTCATCTCATTCAATTTAGGTGCTTACATTCCCTTGGAATTCAACAGGACACAGTACAAGACATCGAATTCTTTCCAGATTGGCCATACAAAGGACCTGGGCTTCTAAAGGAGGTGTTTGAAGCCAAACAGCATGGCTACCTCCTGAAAGAATGTATTTGACGCAAACAGGTATTATCATCAATGGAGACAGAAAAGCTACCTGTTGCCTTCTGAAGTTCAGATAAGATCACTGCACACAAGGAAAATGTAACAAGTACAAGGAAAATAAACAAGTACTCTGACTTTCTATTGTCTATTTCTGCTATTTGCTCCCTTTCCTCCACTATCCAGAGGAGGAACAGAAAAATAAAACCACATAAAGATAACATAAACATTTTAATCATGCAGATTTTTCACAATGAAATATCAAGACTTGGAATAAATTTGCTCCAAAACTCATGTGACAATTGACAAGGAAGGGACAAAACAGATCTCTGAGTGGAGCTTGCTCCTCCAGCATCCAAGATGTGTGTCCAAATACTGAGATGTTATAAACACAGAGGAACACTTTTGAAGCTTGCTGTTGTCAACAAATACAATATAACGCCACCTCCCATGTAGTTAAATTCAGAGAGATACTAGAAGTGTTCCAGGCAACTCCCTAAAGCATGCAAGTATGTGTGTGGTAGTTCTCAGTTACTTGAAGATTTGGTTAAGCAACTGGTAGGGCCAAGATGGCGCTTCCCCTGCACATCCTTCAAACAAAAGAGAACAGCTCACACTGTATCTGTGTGACCTCTATGTCATAGCTTCAGAAGAGCCAGTTTATGCAAGAGGCAGAGATCTGTAGGCTAGCTGTAAGAACTAAAAAGAGGGTATCAAAAATACTAGCCAAGACAACGGTTTTTCCTACTAGGTAGATGGAGGAACAGGAAAACATGTTTAAGCCTTCCTTTCAAAGTACAACACTAATATCAACCTTTCCCTCACAAACTAAGAGGTGCGAAAGAGGAAGGGCCCTCAAACTGACCAGAAGGCCAAGAGATTTTTTTAGAATGCTCTAGAACAGAGGTCCTGAAAATATCCACAGGAATTAAAGTGTTACATCCTTTAAGTCACGCAATTCACAATATTTGACTTGAAGCTGTGTCTGTAAATGTAGTTGGTGTATTGCTTAGCTCGGAACTTCAGCTTTAAAGTGTGTTGAACAACATAAACTTTGGTTATATCCCAGGAATTTCATTCATAAGATGAGAAGAGTGGTGGCAATAAAGACCATAAGATGAACCTGACAATAGTGAGATGATGCTTTGTTATTTATGAATACGAATTTATGTTGGAAGGCATGACCCTGAAGACCACAACTGTTACCAGTTTTGGTTCTTAAAGCAGCACACAGGGAATGTGATATCCTCTCCCCAACACATTGCCATCCTCCTAAGCTATATGTCTATGTTACAGAAATGGGTAAATATTGAATACTTTGAATCATCTGTGCTTTCTGGGGCCTGAATTTATGTTATCTCCAGAATATGACAGCTCAACAGTGCTTGAATAAGAGTTGTATTTGAAACCTAAATTTCTCTAGCTATTTCCTGTAAACATGGTACTCTCTTTTCTTCTGGCCTCAAACACACCGCATTGGCCGAGCAGCTATGACATTTCAGTGATGGCTAAAGAGCCACCCACTTCTGCAAGCAGAAAAAGAAACCTATATAGTTTGGAGATCATTCACATGAAGTCAATATTCATCTAAAGTTACTATACGGCAGTAATGCACTGAAATAACTAGAAAAATACTAATTGTGTTTCTTATCTGCCCCATCTCTCACAGGTAAGCCAAAGGCACCTCAAAAAAAGCACCAAGAAGTCCAGGTGAGGAAAAAGGTATACCTATCAGGTCTAAAAAATTACTACCAAAATGGGAGAATGGATGACAAAGTAAAATTTGGCTTGGGGAGATTTAGCAAAGAAACTGATTTTTAAATTAACACAAAAAATGAATAAAGAATTGATTAGGAATCTACAACAAAGCACTGACGTATCAGATAGAATACATGAGGAGAATCCTAGAATCCCAGGTTGGAAGAGACATCAAGGACCATCCGGTCCAACATTTCCTGGCAAAGCATGATCTAGACTGCTGCGCAGAGCACCCTGCCCAGCTGCATCTTAAAAGCATCCAGTACTAGGGAAGTCACCACTTCCCTAGGGAAGCCATTCCAAATGGTCAAACCCCCTCATTTTGGCCATAACATACTTCCCCACTGGCATACATCTTGCAGAACACACACCAGATCCGACTGCTCTGCTCACCACAGCGGCTGTCTGCAGGCATGTGTGACAGTAACCAAATATCAGATTGAAGTGGCACATTTCACACATGCAGTTTCTTACCTGCCACAAAGAGGGAGACTGCTGCTAACAGCGCTGTGGGCACAACCTAATGATGAGAGACTGAGCTGCATTCTCTGCTGAATCTTGTGACACTGGTCATTTAAAGCAGCAGTTAATATCATCTGCTGGGCTAACCTGCAAGTCTACACTAACACACTGATTCCTGAGAACAAGACAGTAATAAAAGGGGGTTGGGGGTTGAAGACACTTTATAGTGATTTTTCTTTTAAAAGACACATACTTGCTTACTTTTGACCTTGTAACAAATAAGAACACAGATAAAAGCAAGAAAATTCAATTCCTTTTAAAATTTCCAGCATTTTTTTCCATCATATAGACTAACGCAAGGTAATCCTGAGGATTCTTTCCAGTAATTTAAAAGATGACCTTCAGCAACATAAATAGCATGCAGTAAAAATAACGCGCAGTGACCGAGAAAGCAAAGCAGGCAAGCATGTTGCTTTACTTGTAAGCAAAATACGACACTTTAAAAAGGGATAAAGCTCGCTGCTGGCTTGGGCGTAAAAAATTACCCAGCCAGAACTATGTTACCACGTTTAGATACACTTTTTCCTCCCCAAAAACCTGCCAGGCTGATACAACCTGCGAACATCCGTGGATTTAACCACCAGGTGGCAGCGGCCATTCAGGTATTTGTTAGCTGGAGGCTCCCTGTGCCACACTGAGCCGTGAGAACTATACCACGGTGTTCTCTAGAACAGAGAGCAAAAACATCCATTCCAAGGGAAAATCCCTTTCTCTCTACATAAAGCCAAATCTGTTTGCTGTTTAAAGCAGCTTGCTTCGCAATTGGTGATGCTTCTCCTAAAACGCAGTTTCCTTGTTAAGAAATACGTGAACAGCAGCTCTTCGCAGGAAGTTCTCAAGTACCGCTACTTCCATAAGCATAAACCCAAGAGCCGCCTTTACCTCAACAGAGCGCTGGCCTGGTGGGCTCCTGCTTCTGAGGAGACGCCTCCACGACACCGGGAGCTCACCACGGCATGCAAGGGAAGGGACGGAGCCAAAAGCTTCACCTGCTACTGAGGGCGACCGGCTTCACGCCGCGGCAGCACCCCCGGCCCCGGCTACAGTCAGAGCCGCACAGCGGGGAAGGATGCTGGTCGCTGTGCGGAGAGGCCCCCCCCGGACCGGGGCTCCCTCCCTTCAGAGCCGCGCCGCCCGCACCCGGTACCTGGAGGAGGCCGCCCATCTTGGCGTGCAGGGCGCGGAACTCCTCCGGCGCCGCCTCGGGGTAGAGCTGCCCGCGCAGCAGATCCTCCGTGATGTCCGCGTTGCCGTAGTAGGCGGCCTGGGCGATGCCGCTGAGGAGCGCGCTCAGCGGCTTCGAGCCCTCGGGCGGCGGCTGAGGCGGCTCCGGCGCCGCCATCGTGAGGAGGGCGGAGGCACCGCCCGCCAGTACGGCGGCCGCGCAGGGACAGTCCCCGCCGCCGTACCGAGTCTTCTTCTCGGGGTGAGGCGGATCGTGCCCTTAGCAAGGCAATCGTAAGCACCGAGTACCCAACACGCAAACGGAAAACGCAGCGGCTCTGCCATCCAGACTAATTTTATTTAACACTAGCATTTAGGCACGTCGCACCGAGTACATGGAACTTATTTCAACAAGGTGTAATAACACACACCAACACAGAGCCTCCACCGACCAGTATTTCATTCCCTGACAATGCCAGGTAATGTTCCAAAGGTATCTGTGATTAAAACAGGAAAAAAATACCTCAACACAACAAAAACCCCAATTAAACCCCAATCCCATTAACCAGGACCAAACAGGAATGACATGACTGGGTAGAATGCATTTTTTTCTATGCTGATTCTTCAAGTACTCTATTTTACTGAACACTCAGTTTAAGGAAGCTTCCACCAGCTTTGCTCTCTATCCTTTTGTTGTTAAGAGGCAGGGTTGGCCACAAAACATGGGACAGTTAAGAAAAAGGTACTAACAAATATCAAGTGTTTTCTCTGTGCACCATTCTATACAAGTTTAAATATAAAAAATATTAAAATGCTTTGTATATACAAGCATGTGCAGTCACAAAAGAGACTGTGTGCTTTCAAGTCTACAGCAAATTGTCTTCTAGTATGATTTATCAGTGGCATCACCACCTGATTTCAGTTATTTAAGCCCTTCATAGTTACACTTTTTTTGACATACAAGAAATATCACATTGCTCAAAAATATAAAACATAGGTTTATGATCAACATGATCTGTTCTGCCTAGTTCTTTATTCTGTATCTTTTTGTAAGTAGAGAATAGGCAAAGTACATGTGCAAGCTGTCCCCTGGCCTGAGGGAATCTTCAAGCTAGAGGAACAGGAAAATGAAAGATGTAACAGTATGTGCAGCTAACAATTTCTCCATTCTCCACTCTCTCCATTAATTTGGACAATACTTAAAATGTCTCTTTCCTACAGCAGTATTTAGACTAAATAGCATAGTTAAAAGCTTTAAAGAATACGGAGATACAGGAGTTCCTTTCAATTGCTAGAAATTAATACATAGCATGAGAAACTAACTCCATTTGGGTACAGAGTACTCACTGCACAGCCAACCTTTCTGGGGGCAATGCTCTTCTGTGGTGAATACAGTTCATGGTTGCACGTATTGAAAAAAGGGGCAGGGTAGTAACTCTTCATGGCTTATCCATATCACCACGGAACACAAAGGAAAAGATTTCTATCCTTCTGGTTTAGATCTCTGAAGATACTGTTCCCGATGAGACACTTTCCTCTGCTTCAGGCTGATGGACATCATAATGAGCAATGCTGGTTTAGTGACTTAGGCTGAGGTACAAAGACAAATCTGTTCTTTTAATTGCTTTTTCTTCTCAGATCTCGGCCTACTCAGTGTCTTGTGTGAAGACGGCAAGAAAGCTGGTGAAAGGTGCATATTTTGACTTCAAAAAGAATATAAAATTATTCAGAATGCACGTGGCATCAATCAGCAACCTATGTCTTTAAGGATATTATTTATTTGTTTTGTAAACAACCCTATTTTTAAACAAATAAAAAACACATTGAAAAGTCTATCTATATATATACAGTACATGTTAAATCTTCACTCCATTGTGATGCCATGGTTTTAAGCAGAAAAAAAAAGAGTTCTTGATCCAAAATTCAGTAGCAATATAACCCCCTTTGGCAGTACAGCACCCAGTGGTGCCAAGAGCCTGTCCTTTCAGGAGAACTTCATTTGTTATTTATCACCTGAACCGTTTTTCGGCCATAGTGGTAATAACTGTATGCAGATGTTACCGTCGTGAAAGCCGTGATGCACCTTTGGGGAAAATAGTTCCTGTAAGTCGTTTGAGTCCAAGTACAATAATAAAGGATCATTTTTAAGCTCATCATTATTTTTCACTACAAGTTCAAGGGCTATGTCTGACAGAAATAGGTTTTACAGATAATATGCTGAAATTCAGTTTTAAGTGGATTAGATAAACAAAGGAACGGCCGTGTAGTGCAAAGTAGAATGTTTCAGTGTAACTGCATAGGAGGCGAAATTTTAACACATTAGCACTTGTCTTAGAGAAGGGAAGACAAAAGATTCAGTACTTGTAGCCTACATTAATTTTTACCAGCTTGAGAACTGTCCGATGGGAGATATTATACATTGGTAGTATAAAAGGGGAACATTCAAACCACGCAAGACTGGAATGTCTCATTTTACCAAGTTGCAAAGCTAAAGCACAAGTTTTGGCTTCAGCCTCTTTTGTTCCCTCCTCAGATGCTGGGTAATAACTACCCATATTTCTAAATTAGCAGTGCTCCTCTGTGTTAAAGGCTGACACCATTCAGGTGAGAGCCACCACTACAGTCCTACCCCTCCATTACCACTGCTCTCCCTTGGCTCACTCATCCAGATAATTTTTGAGAGTGTGTTTACAGAAGACCCTGGTGAGTTACACCCAGCATTTCTTCATTACTCACACAATAGAATCGTAACATGGTTAGGGTTGGAAGGGACCTTAGGGATCATCTGGTTTAAACCCCCTTGCCATTGGCAGGGACGCCTTCCACTAGTTGGCTCAAAGCCCCGTCCAACCTGGCCTTGAACACTGCCAGGGATGGGGTGGCCACAGCTTGCCAAAACCAGGAGATGCTAAAGAAGCTGCCACCAAAATTAGCTGAACATCTGTATTCATCAATTAAAGCAAAGTAAGAAATGAACAAACCGAAGATGTTGTAACTCACTCAGAGTCCCCGACAAGCAGCAAAGTAAGCATCTTTCACAGATGAGATTCTAGTTTTGGCTTTCAAAAGGATGAAAAACTACACTGGCTGTCAAGATCAAGGTCCCTAGTTCCTTAAAAGCTTTTGGGTTTGTTTTGGTTTTGTGGGGTTTTGTGTTTTTTTTTTAATGTCTCTCTCCCTCCCCCCAAGAAGGATACAAGTAACACTGGGTTTTCTACTACTTGAAACTAAGTTACGTAGTAATTCTGCTGTTCAGCCTCTTTGTCCTGATCTCTTACCCAACTGCTCAGGAGAAATAACTGCACTTGTAACACCTGCTCTCAGGTACAGTTAAGCTTCAGGTACAGCTCACACCTCCAATGACAGCAGTGAAAGGAACAGCCACTATTTAAGGAGTTATGCTCCTGTTTGCCTGTTTTCATTCCATCCTTCCCCTTCCTTCCTATAGTCTAGCAGGAATCACAGATTTAACCAGATGCTTTTCAGATAGGCTTCAGAAACCTAGATTTCAAGGTAGCAGGTATAACATAAAGCAAAACCAAGAAAATATTTCCCATCTATTTTTACTGACATCAAAGTTATTTCTTCAAGGACACCTATGGCATGAATAAATAAAGAATCCATACAGCCTTTCTTCCCACTCCCTTCTTTTCTATTACTCTGAATTCTGCCTATTCTGAAGACTTGTTTCTCAGCTCTTATTCCTGGATCTTAACTAGTATCATCATTTGACTACTTTTTGCTTGTACAGTAAATTAAATACCAACAAATATCTAGCTCCTGTGCTTTTAAGAATACATGCTTAAAAAATTCAGGCATATGGGTCTATTACACCATCCCTGCAGGTTTTTTTTGTGCCACACAATTAGATTAATCTCAATTACCAGTTTCTTTAAGAGTACATTAAATTATCAGAAAAAAAACCAAAACCAGAAACAAATGAAGAGATAAGTTACCATAATGTCTGTAGATATATGCTGTCCACGTAATTGAAAACAGGAGCTGCTAAAGAAGCTGCCACCAAAATTAGCTGAACCATTGTGTTCATCTGATAAAAGCAAAATAGGAAATGTGACCAAAATGAAGACATGTACTATGTAAAGAATATAGACACTTTTATTACTGGTTTAAGTACTAGTCTATATACAGAAAATTTATTTAGGAACCTCTTTTAATGAGTTATATACTCAACTGAACTATACACTATACATACTCAAAATTAACACGTACTCTGACAGAGCATAGCTGAAAATCTTTCAGGATGTAAACTGCCTTCAAACTGGTTGGCACTATTTTGAAACTGCACTCAGGGGTAGTAGGAATCAGCCCCCTCCCTCCAAACTGCACACCACTCCAAGTACTGGGGTGTTAGTTACTACTCTTACCTTACTAATGAATGTTGGTTTTAATTGGGCAGTAGCATAACAGGGGTTAAAAAACCTACTGAGTGTTCTCTGTCGGGTGAGAAAAAGAGGGAAAAAAAGTCAATTTAGTATATTCGATAGTCCTCTTCACACAACACAGAAAAGACAACTGTAGCACTAAAGATTATACTGATATTGCTCTTATATGATTTACTACATAGCATAGATAGGAAAAACGTAAAAATAAATTTTATATGATCTATTACACATCATACACAGGAAAATAACAGTAGCTCTGACTCATCTTGATGAAACCTATTTTATGAAATACTGTTCTGCTTACAGATCTATCTGGTGAAAGAACAAGCACAACACCACATCTTAGGTTAACCACTCAAGTTTTAAGTCATCATCAAGTCTCAAAATTAAAATCTTTATTGTTTACAACATTGTTGAAGGCTTATTCATATTTTTATACTTGTAAAAATCACTGAATTGTAGAATGGTTTGGGTTGGAAAGGACCTTAAGGTCATCTAGTTCCAACCCCCTGCCTTGGGCAGTGGATGCCTCACATGAGGCCACATTGCCCAAGGCTCTGTCCAACCTGGCCTTTGAACACTGCCAGGGATGGAGCATTTACCACTTCTTTGGCCAACTTGCTTCAGTGCCTCACCACTCTCACAGTAAAGAACTTCTTTATATTCAATCTGAACTTCCCCTGTTTTAGTTTAAACCCATTACAGAAGGTTTAATCAAAATACAATGACTACATATTCCTACCATTTTGTTTAAAGCTATACACTTACCGGTGGAGAAAGAGTTTTGTATCGCACATAGAAAACAGCAGCAATGAGCGCTACATCCCTCAGAATAA